AGCAAAAGCATCAAAGAAATAATTTCCATACCCCCTTCCAAATGGGATGCTATGAAGGTCTATCAGATGTAAATACAGTTTTATGAGCTCAAAATATATTTAAACAAATAAAATCACATCAAAAACCCTAGTGTTTTAAAATATGCATTAAATGCATGTCACATTTTTCAAAAAAAGCACTGGATACGCTAGACTCTATTTGTACATCAAAATAATAATGAAATAACAAATTCATGCACTGCATAACTAAGGCAAGATAATACATATAAAAGAATTTTCCCTCTAGACCACACCATGGAGATTGCACCTTTTGAATTTTGATGCTACGTTAAAACTACAGTGACGATAAACACTAATGAATAAATAATGCTCCACGGGCAGTATTTATGTACACAAGGCAATAATTTTCTGCTAAATTTTCTCTTTTCTGAGTATGTATTTCAAGGAGGACCATTCAAGGTGGTTACTGTGTGCATATAAGTGGTTTGAATGATTACTTTGTGGCCCATAGCTTGTTCTCAAATTGCAATTGCAGTTGCAGCCATAAAAAGATGTTGTTTCCTTCTTTCACAATCCACACTGACTTGATTGGAATGTGTGTGTCCAACAGACTTCTGTGTCTGTACCCAAGGTTTTTACCACAATGACAACTCCACTGAATTCTAAAAAACTTATAAAATCCTAAAGTTACTACTCTGGGTTGTGTGAGCAGGAGTCCATTGTTTGTATCTGCACCGTATGATACACCAAACCTTGGGCAGTGAGCTTCAGAAGACAGAGAATGTCCTGGGGCGCCTAGGTGGCTTAGTCGGTTAAGCGTCCGACTTTCGCTTGGGTCATGATCTCACGGTTCATGGGTTCAAGCCCCGTGTCGGGCTCTGGGCTGACTGCCAGCTCAGAGCCTGGAGCCTGTTTCGGTCTGTGACTCCCTCTCTCTCTGACTCTCCCCTGCTCACACTGTCTCTCTCTCTCTCTCCTAGAAATAAATAAAACATTTAAAAAAAAAAAAAGAAGAAGAAGAAGAAGACAGAAAATGTCCTGATTTGGCAAAGATGCTCAGAGGGAGATGAGAAGCCACAAAGATAACAAATGTTCACTGGACTTCAGGATAAGTTCACTTATTCAACTTCACTTATTTACTAAGTGCCTACTATGTGCCAGGCTCAGCTGCTTTCTTTTCCTTACCAAATATCACACTTTATTGTCATCCTTTGTATGCCTCTCTCAGCGATCCACCACCATCACCATTACCACCCATTAAACCAAAAGTTTCTCAAAGGCTGGAACCTTGTCATATTAAGTGACATACTGATTTGGAATCAATAAATATTTATGAATGAATAAATAATAAAGATATAAAATATTATATAAATGGAAGCATGCTAAGGCAGGGGTGAACATTCTGTAGGATGTGCATTCTGCCTCAGCCTTAAAGAAAGTAAATAGAAGAGAGAATTCTAGACAAAGGGAGCAGCAGACGCAAAAGCCTGGGAGGAGGGAAAGAGTGGGTGTTTCAGAGAAGCTGGCAACGGAATCCATTGGGATACAGCTATGGTTCCTATTCTCCTTGGGAGAAGGGGCCTGGCTCACTACCAACCCCACTCAACTGTACCAAAATACAGGGGTGGGAGGCGAGTATGACATTGATAAGACCCCCATTGAAAAGACTTAGATATTAAGGTCATTCTGACAAGTATTCCTTGTTAAGTGATGTTATTTATAAATTATGTGAGGAGGAATAGAGAGAATGGGGTCTCTCTATCCCTCAGTGCCCTCCATTGGCCTCAGTCCTCTACCTTTAACCCCATATTTCACTCACAAAGGCCCCTGCTGGTGTGGTGGTTATTGCAACCGCTCCTAGCTGAAGAGGACTTCTTTAGGGAGTGGGTTTCCAATTAGTTACATTCCATTTAATTCAGCACGCATTGACGGAGAGCCTACCATAGGCAAACCAGTGTGGTCTTTATGGATGCCTAGATCAGTGAGGTCACCCCTCCTCAAGTATCTCACAACCTAAAGCATTCGCATTTTAATATCTAAGCACATGCATCAAATGCTTTTAAGAATGAAAGGAGTTGCCTATTGCACCAAAACATGGTGATCTTGAAGCAAATAATCGTGCCCTAAACTCCTTAAACACTCCCACTTAAAAGTATATCTGTTGTAAAATTGGTCCTGCCAAATGCCAACTTCCTACTTGTTGAATATGCGATATTGGAACAGCAAATCTCAGCTGGATATGAGAAACTCGTTCTTTTTCAGTAGAGGCCTTTTTCAATGAGAAGCAGAAATGATGGAGGAAAGAGTATTTGAGTAATGGGGAGAGAATTCCAGGCAACTCTCCTCTCAGAGAACCAATTATTTTCTCCCTAAAGAGGCAAAACTCCCCCTTTTTCACCTCAACTCCAACACTGTGTGAAAGGCATTCCCAGAAGTGCTGGGCTACGGCAAGGCCCAAAGGTGAGCAAATGCACCTGACTCCCCCCCACCCCCCCCCCAACTGAAACAAGAGTAGCTCCTGACTGACCTTGCTGCCCCAGGTTCTTGAGGGGCTTGGCGGGGGGGTGGGGGGGGTGAACACGGAAGAGAAAAGAGGATGTAGGCGGAAAGCGGGTTCTGCAGGACTGCAGCCTAGCTCAGAAGTGGTTTTGCAGGAAAGCTTGTTGGCTAGCCTGCCCTACACTGGAGAAGTCATTTCTTCATCTACCGTGGGCACGATTACCGTAACATTACCCTACCCACCTGTCTACCTTTATGTCTATCAACTTCCCAACTCATAGAATTATGCTCACATAGCACCTAACGGCTGCTGTGGCCTTCCAGTCCGCACCCCCTCCCCCAACACACACACACACACACACACACACACACACACACACACTCTCACTCACATTTGCACCTGCTGATCCCACTACCTGAAATACTACACCACTACTAATACCCCCACCCTCCATCCCCAAGGAGAATTCAACTCATATACAACCCTCAACCCTTGGCTCAGGAGTGACTGTCATCAGAAAGTGCTCCCTGCTGCCTCTTTGTGCTGTCTGGGTATATCCTCACTAAATCAATCTTACCATTCTCTAAACCCCTTAAAGTCCAAACCCTTGGTTACTCATCTTAGTATCCTCAAGACTTACTGTGAAGTCTGGTAGAGAGTGGGTGCCCAGTATTTGTTGAACTGTATGTCTGGGTGCTTACCATCTTGGGTACATAACGTAGGAAGTACTAAGGAGGTTTCATGATCTCCCCAGAGATACTTGAGTATCAGGAATCGCAAAGCATAGAGCTAAGTCAACTGCCAAAAGAATGAAAACCTAAGTCTGGAGGCAAAGAAAAAAAAAAAAGAATGAAGGAAAGAAAAGAATTTGCCAACATGAAAGGATCTGGAAACAAGTTTTAGGACGGAAACTTTGAAACGCTCATTAAGAGTCTGTAAGAATTTTCATAACACTGCCCTAGTAGACCATGAGCTGGGGTGGGGTGGGGAGGAAGAGAGGCAGTATCTGTTACTCACTTAGGTGTCCCATTGGGAACCACATGAGAGGGACTCGCCAGAAAGATAGCTATTGATTTAACGGTTTCTATATATTGTCTCTTCATATAACTATGTGTATGACTTCGATACAATGGAGCTAATATAATGTCGTCCACTTCATAATATGGGTGCTATTCCTCCCAAGTAATATTTTCATTGCCAGTTCAAAATTCAAAATTGGGCACCTGGGTGGCTTAGTTGGTTAAGCATCCTACTCTTGATTTCGGGTCAGGTCATGATCTTGCGGTTTGTGAGATTGGGCCCTACATAGGGCTCTCCGCTGACAGGGCAGAGCCAGATTGGAATTCTCCCTCCCTCTCTTTCTCTGCCTCTCCCCTGCTCTCTCTTTCTATCAAAATAAATAAATAGGGGCTCCTGGGTGGCTTAGTCGGTTAAGCGTCCGACTTTCGCTTAGGTCATGATCTCACGGTTCGTGGGTTCGAGCCCTGCGTTGGGCTCTGTGCTGACTGCCAGCTCAGAGCCTGGAGCTTGTTTCAGTCTGTGACTCTCTCTCTGACCCTCCCCTGCTCACGCTGTCTCTCTCTCTCTCCTAGATATAAATAAAACATTAAAAAAATTTTTTTAAAAAAACAAAAATAATTTTTTTTTTAAAAAAAGAAAATTCAGAATTAGAGTGGTCCCTTCAAATACTGTTAAGAGAGCCAATTAAAGCAGGTGGTCTAAATTAGACCGTGCATTCACTACCCTGATGGTGAACTTAGTAGTGCAAGAAATGTGACCTGTTTCATGAACTTAAAAACACTGCATTGGAGAGTGAGAATTTCTGCTTTTGGTCCTGAGGATTCCCAGTTTTGGCCCAATTCTTGGTGAAGGCAGAATAGGGCTCTTTATGTGAGGAGAGTAATGGGGAGGGATAAAGAGGGCAGGAGAAGGTTGGGAGAAATAGAAGCTCAATATACAGGATATCAAGACCAGCCTTGGCTATACCATTGTCCCTTGGCCTGTCTAGGGATCAGCTTTCTCAATCTCAAAAATAAGGTAGATGGATTAGATATACACCGTTTATATAGATTCCAATTACAGATCCCAACTGTATCCCTTCTTCCACGTGTGATTCTAAATAGTTCCAGATACAATCAGGGAAATTCGGGGCAATTAGCCAAGGAGCTCCACAGCCACTCCTCCGAGCTGACCACCCCCGCCCCAGGCCCCCGGCACCACCGCTCTCCCAGCCAACCCTAGCCTCTGACTCCACCCTGCCCCGCGGCCCCAGGGCCCGCCTCCGGGAGCGCGGGGACGCGCCGCGCGCGCCCCAGGCCACGTGACCCCGAGCGGCGGGGCCGCGCCCGAGTCGCCATGGCGGCGGTTCCTGCAGATTCCGGCTCGCGGCCTGCCGCGGGCGCCCGGTTTTTCTGCACCGCGGGCCGCGGCCTGGAGCCCTTCCTGATGCGGGAGGTGCGGGCGCGGCTGGCGGCCACGCAGGTGAGTTGGCCTCGCTGCGCACCCGGGCGGGAAGGAAGGCGGCCCTGTCCCGGTCCGCGCCCGGGCTCCCTCCCCGCCAGGGTCCGTGTAGACCCAGGAAAGCCGGAGACTCAACGCCCAGCTCTCCCGCCGCGGGCCTCGGAGTTCTGACACGTCCTTTCATTACTGCCAGTCGTTCTCCTGTGACATGACCGCGTATCTCTCATGCCTGTAGTCTTTTTTACAGGCGGGAAGGAGTTTGAGGCAAGGTATTTCCGAGATTCTTTAAAATAAGGTATTCGATAGTGCCCATAGTTCGAATTAGACCTGCCACAGTTAGAAGCCTTTCTCCAGCCTTTAAATACAAATACAAGCTTCAGGTTCATTTGCTTGTCAGTTTCCTGACGATGATGGTATTTACCTCATGGGATTGTTCTAAGGCCATAGAGTACTCTTAAACACTGAGTAAATAGTAGCTACAAAAGTAACTAGCCTTAGAGGCTTCGTAGTCCAACTGCTGGAAGGAAGTAACAGTTCCTGGTATTTGTTAATTCCAGTGCCAGGAACAAGGTTTTAAACTTGAGTTTGGGTTCTAGAACGTGCTGAGCTGGCTCCCTGAAAGCAGAGGGAAAAGATGTACTGGAAACAGACTCCACTAACTTGATGGGCTGTGTGTGAGTGTGAATGGTGGGTTTTTGGAAAAGGAAAGCTTACTAAATGAAATTGACCACTCACTCTTGCAGCCCCTAGTGTTTGTTGGAAGCCACTCAGGGATTTTCTGCAGGGAGTTGGGAGCATGGAGGATAGAGGAGGTCATGAAAAATGACATCAGTCTTATTAGGTTACAAGCCATTTGTGGTTTTGGTCACAAAATTTAATGGAGTGCTGAATGTGGTTAATCTAAAAAAGCAACAATGTGAGAATTGCCCACATTGATTGAGCATGTTCTTAGGCCCTTAATCTGTATTCACTTGCTTAATTTTAACAATTCTGTGAGGTAGGCTCTACATTTAACAGAAAAGGAAAATGAAGCGCGATTCAAACCCAAGCTGTGAAATCAGGCATCTGAGTATATAATCATGTTTAACCCAGGCAGGCCAGTACCCAGGTCCAATTCTTTCCATTACATCATGCTGCACTGATTTTTTAAAATTATTAATTTAGAGTTTTTAGTATGAAAAATAAAAGCCTTGACCCAATTGCAGTCTGTTGAATTAGAAAAATTGTCTACTCTGCTTGTCTCCATCTTCTCTAAAGACAAAAAAATGAGATGTGAGGGGAGGAGGGGCTCACCACAACAAAAACAGTTCAATTAATTATAGGGACAACCTTCCTGGCAATGAGAAGAATCAAATGCCACAAGATCTGGGGATTTCCATATTTTGATTGTGCACGTTTTAAGAATAGATCTGCTTGGAAATGGGATCTGAACAAAGAACCTCTGAAATTCCATCCCCGTTTTGCTTTCAAAGTTGAGGCAATCCCTAAAGAACAATGACAGCATCTAACATTTATAAAGCACTTAAAATGTGTCAGATGCTTTTATGTACATGATATGATTTAATTCACAGAAGAATCCTATGCGATACGTCATTTCCTCCTCTATTTTACAAAGATAGAAAGAGAAAACTGATGCTCTGTGGTGGAGCTGGGACTTGTATCTGGATCTTTATTGCTTCGAAGTCCGGGTGCTTTACTGGTACACTAAATTATAGCGGGAAACTGCCCCTAACTATGTAGGTTATTTCTGTAACAGCATGGAAAAGAGTATATGTAGACCTTAGAGGCAAAAGACATGTGTTCAAATCTTAACCTCCTTTAATAGATTTTTTTAATTTGGGGTAAATACTCAAATTTCTGAGCCCCACTTTCCTTGGATATAAAATGGAGAAGATAATATCTGCTTTAAAGGATTAGAGCAGTCCTTGAGAAAAAAATTGATAGCACATGTAGCACAATGTCTTGCAATTAGTAGGTGATCAATAAGTGTTCCCAAAGAATGAGTTGCACAGGAATACTTAAAATCATTCGTGCAGTAATAAGAGTGTTAGAAACTTTGGTTAGCTTCAAGAAAATTAATATCGTAAAATCTGCATTTATAAAACGAATTGATTTAGAAGTGATTGTTTCCTTTTACAAAGTAGTCATGCCTTTCTAGTCGGGTTTTTCCAGTTTTAGTGAACGTTAAGAATCCTGGAGGGAGCTTGTTGCAAATGTGTGTCCTTAATCGCCACCCCCTAAAACTTTTCTTTCGATAGAGAAAAGTCAGCCCATAAGAAATGGGCTGTATAGCCCAATCGTTAAATCTGCATTTTAACTTGCAAACTCTCCCTCCTCGGATGACTGACGTAGGTTCATCCTCCAACAGGCAGCTTGCGATAGAAAACGTCCAGCGTATTCGGTTTATTCAAATACACGGAGAATTTGAAACACACACAAAAGGACAGTGTGGTGAATCTCACCTACTTGTCCACCAGCTGCTACAATGATCCCGTGGTGAATTCTGCTCCGTTAATGCTCCTCCCACTCCACCCACCTTATTTCGAGGCAAAGCCAAGATATCACCTCATCTGTAAATGTTTACCTATGTAATAGTCATCCTTATCCATGGGAGATATATTCAGGGCCCCCAGTGGATGCCTGAGAACATAGATAGTACCAACCCTATATATACTGCTTTTAAACAGTATATATTAAACCCATAATAAAGTTTCATTTATAAATTAAGCATAGTAAGAGATTAACAATCTCTCAATAGGACATTATAAAAATCTACTGTCATAAAACTTCCGTGAATGAACATGTTCTCTTGCCCACTCTCCCTCCGCCCCTCCCTCCCTCTCAAAATATCATACTGTGCTCACCCTTCTAGTGATGATGTGAGATGAAAGAATGATGAGACGAAGTGTGGTGCATGACGTTAGGCTACTATTGACTTTCTGACGGTACTTCGGAAGGAGGACTGTGCTTGACGTAGCCTGACGCTGTTGACCTTACGTCACACCGAGGTCATCTGCTTCTGAACCACGTGGTTAAACGCAGTAACTGCCAGAAGGCATACTGTGGATAAGGGGACTCCTGTTTGTCTATAATGAGAGGACTCACAGCATAATATATATAGTATAACATAGAAGAGAAAAGGTCTGGCGCCTGGGTGGCTCAGTCCGTTAGGCAGCCAGGTCTTGATTTCGGCTCGGGTCATGACCAGTCATGGCTCTGGAGTTTGAGCCCCGCATCAGGCTCTGCGTTCACAGGTGCAGAGCCTGCTTCAGACCCTCTGTCTCCCTTTCTGTGCCTCTCCCCTTCTTGCTCGCTCTCTTAAAAAAATAAATAAAACATTTTTAAAAATAAAAATTAATAAATATATAAGCCACAATATCACATCTAAAAATAATTCCTTATCAAATATCTAGTCAGTGTATAAGTTCCAACTTTCTCGTAACTGCCACTTTTCTTTTTAAGTTTGTGTATTTGAGGATTCAGATAAGGGCCATGCATTATGACTGATAATCTTTTAAATCTCTTTCGTATAAAAAAAAATTTTTTTTTAAGTTTCTTTTAATCTATAGATTTCCCCTCCACGCCTCCCCCCACCCCCAGGCAATTTATTATTTGTTAAAGAAGCAGGGTTGTTGTTTATCCTGTAGTTTAGAGCACGGGTGGGCCAACTTTTTCTCTAAAGATTGGGGTGCCTAGATGGCTCAGTCGGTTAAGCATCCGACTCTTAATCTCGGCTCCTTGAGTCTTGATCTCAAGGTGTGAGTTTGAGCCCCATGGTAGGCTCTGCTTTGCATGGAGCCTACTTTTCTTTTTTTTTTAAAGATGCTCTTCCTTTTTTTTTTTTATAGTTTTTTTTTTTTTGAGACAGACAGAGCACAAGTGGGGGAGGGGCAGAAAGAGCGCGAGAGCGCGAGAGCGCGAGAGCGCGAGAGCGCGAGAGCGCGAGAGCGCGAGAGCGCGAGAGCGCGAGAGCGCGAGAGCGCGAGAGCGCGAGAGCGCGAGAGCGCGAGAGCGCGAGAGCGCGAGAGCGCGAGAGCGCGAGAGCGCGAGAGCGCGAGAGCGCGGGACGGACACCCAGAATCTGAAACAGGCTCCAGGCTCTGAGCTGCCAGCACAGAACCCTATGTAGGGCTCGAACCCACAAACCTCGAGATCATGACCTGAGCGGAAATTTGGACGCTTAACTGAATGAGCCACCCAGGTGCCTCTGGAGCCTACTTTTAAAAAAAGGCCACATACTAAATATTTTATGCTTTGTAGATCATGCGTGTGGACCACTTGTTATTCTTTGTTGTTATTTGTTTTTACATCCCTTTAAAAGTGTAAAAACCATTCTTAGCTTTCCAGGCCTCATTTTCTGACCCCTAGTCTAGAGCTGTGGTGCCCAAGAGGGTGTGGTGGCTCTTTTCATTAAAATTAAAATATACAACAAACAGTTTTCCTTTCTTAGACACGTTAGTCGCATTTCAAGTGCTCAGAAGCCACATGTGCTAGTGGTGACTGCATTGGATAGCTCAGGTTATGGAATACTGTCATCATCACTGAAAGTTGTTAGACAGCAATGCTAGAGTGTCCCCTGATCTAAATATTACCAACTGTATCTCCATGGTATAGTTCAGCATGTTCCTCTGTCCTCTCTGTCTCCTGTCACTTGGAATCTTGTAAATTGTGTCTAGAGTTTGGTTAGTTTCAGATTAGATTTTTTTTCTTCCACCTGGCATAGGGCAGACTTCTTTATAGGTTCCCGGGTATTTTTAAATATTCAATTTATATTGTATTATATATTTTTATCTGTATCATGTATTTTGTATACATACATAATATATATTTAATTTATCTGGATTGCTTTAAAATTAAGAAAAATTAAGCTTTACTTTATAATAATGTACAATGTATTAAAGAGTGCTATTCTAACAATAATAGCAAGAACAGTTATTTTTAAGATAAAATTCAGTATAATAGAGGCGTATGTAATACCAGCTAGCCAGAAGGGCCCTGTCAATGGGTTAATTGGTCTTTATAAACCCACATAGCAAAGACTTTAACCTAGGTTCTGAACTTGAATAAGCCAACCAATTTTTAATTTTTTAGTAAGGTCCTGGTGATAGAAAGTAGTGGGGTAGATCTAACCAGATAACCAGATTATTTCATAATTACTTTTATTTAAAGGAATAATTGTATAAGGTTGATTTTTAAAAATATCCTATGCATTTCTTGTAAATTGAATGCTTTTTTAAACATTAAGTAAAATATATTTTTTAATTCCTTCTTCTAAAATGAACCAAAAAAGCTCATGTACCACCTCAGCTCTTCACTTAGCAGTTTAAAATTAATTCCATAACTAAATGGCATTTGTAGAAATAAGAGAACTTTGGTATCTCCCTATCTTCCCGTGCATTTTGCCAAGACTTAAACTTTTAATTTTTGTGTTAGACTTAAATGCCTGAATTTTAAAAGAAAGGCAAAAATGCTAACCACTTAGATATTCTAGCTGATAACAGAACTGTTTTTACTTTAATAAAGGCTGTTATTTCATCTTCGAAAGTGTTAGACATAAAACCAGCTGGTTTTAGACACTTGGTTATGATTTAATTCCAAATGGAAAAAACAGATTGTATATATATATACATTTCCAAGTAACAAATATTAGGATGAAATATTCTAAAATGCCACATTTCTCCCCTAAGTATTATAATTGAGTATCATAAGTTACAAGCAATAAAGAAAAAGGTAAACACCAGCTTCAGCAGTGTTTGAAGTTACAAGCACCAAAATTCATTCTCCCTACTGCTTTAAGATATCATAGTTTAACTTCACAAAGGGTCCAACATTATAGTGCTTTCATGTATATGATTTTTTGATTCTCATAGTGACTGTCTTGCAGTTTAGTAAACTACTTCTGATTATATTTATTACTTGTAAAAGGAATGTAGGCCTTATGTTGATTTTTAAATGAAATTATGTTGGTTTTGAGACTATATTTAACATTTTAATGCTTTAAGGCCTTATTCTTATGATTTGATTCCCCAAATAAATTTACCTTTTAGGTCCTCTCAATTAACTTGATTTTCAATCATGTTCATTTGTTCTTCCCACCTCCCCAAAATGATGATATTTTTAAGAGTTCGCTGTATAAATTTTTTCTCTTCATATTTCAAATAAGTAAAAGATCTTTGTACAATTAAACAACTATAAATTAATATCTAGATCACTGACTGCTTAGGTTAAAATCACTGGTCCAGCTGTTTGCATCAGTTTGTTTATAGGACTGGAATCCTAAAACCATACATCTTCAGTAAAATGATTATTTCAGTTCCCCTAGAATCTTAGCAGTGTATTTCATGTCCGTTAACTTGTTTTGTGATGGCTTTAATATCAGCTACATTTTTATGTCTGGTAACATAAAATCTAAATTTTTTAAGTTACTTTTTAAAATTTTGTTTTCAAGTTCTAAGCATTTTGAGGTATATATTTAGTTTTGACTTTGTGGGAAATGTCACCTTTCTAATGAGTAAGAAGTAAATTCTAGAGACTAGCAGTTCTTATCTTAGTTAACTTCCTTATCGCCTTAAATATTAATTCCTAAACCTTCTCATTCCCTGCTTTCTCCATCTGTCTTGGTCAGATACATTGCTGGTATCTGAGCTGTTTGGGTTTCCTTCTTATTTGTTTTTGCAGCTTTATTGAGATATAATTGACATATACCATTATGTAAGTTTAAGGTGTATAACATGTTGATTTGATACATTTATAAATTGTAAATGGTTACCAACATAGCATTAGCTAACACCTCCATCCAGTCACATAACTACCATTTAATTTTTGTGGTGAGAATGTTTAAAATCTGTTAGTAGCCTTCAATATATAATACAGTATGAGCTATAATCACCACGCTGTACATTAGATCCCCAGAACTTTTTAGTCTTATAATGAAGTATTTGGGTTTTAAGTGTGTCAACCTAGGGCTTCCTCTGCAGAGATTCTTCTTCATCAAGCTAGAATGATAACTCCGGAAATTACCATCCCTAGGGCTTAATTAGACCATGCTAGATCAAAAGTACAAAAACACTCTGAGTTCAAGTTCCCATTGGACAGAAGCTCCCTAAACACATGGGAAACCTAAAATTCCCCATTACCTGATTTCTAGGAGATAACTTAGATCCATATTAATCACCTGATGGCCACTGCTGAAAGCAAACTTTAAGGACAATCCACATCCATCCTGAGCTTGAGGGGGTTGGGTTGACCCCATAAGTTTTAGGACTTCATTGGTATTGAGCTCCATTTGGCATACGTCACTAGACTCTTGGTAGTCAGTGCATTTTTTGTTTTCTTTCTTCTCTGGCTTTACCACATATCCATCTTGTCTCCCAGACCTCTTTCTGGTGGTGCATATTTCTTCCTCTTAGCCCTTTTCCAGCTCCACAGCCAAGAGTTTTACTATTTCTACTTTGGTAGTCTCCTTCTTCCTCTAACATCACATTCTACACCCAGTACTTTATGCCTCTTCCAAAGTAATTTTTTCTGCTAGCTAATTCAGTGCTGTCATGGCTTTCATCAAAAGTCTATAATGGTGGACCGTTACCATCTGCAGTACTCAAATTTTCATGACCATATATCAAGCTGATCTGAGCTACACCATCCATCCACCTGACACCATCAATCAGCATAACACAGCAAATTTTGCCATGCTGGCTTACACTTCACTTCAGCCAGGCTGTCACTCCCACCTCTGCATCTTGCTCTTTGTTCTTTTGTTAAATCTCTCTTCTCGAATCTTATAGAGTTCTTTCCCAAGACTTTTACTAATTATAGTTCCATATTCAGTGCTCCTTATTGTATATATAGCTTATCAGTGCATTTATCATATTAGCTTTTTTGTTTTCTTTTGGGTTTAATTCAAGTTATTTTCTTGTAAATGTTCTCTTTTAATTTGTATGTCAGTATATGTGTGTTACTTTATTATTCATCTTTAGCATATATGTTGTATATTTCCTGATAGACCACAAGGTCGGTGTTTAATAAATGCCTCCTGATGATGTTAACCCTGGGCTAGACACCTGATTTGTCCTAGGAGTGTACTTTACAACAGGTAACATGACATAGGTTATGATCTTGGTCATTGTGTGACTTCATACAAGTTATTTAACCTATCCAAGCCTCAGTTTCATAAGCTGAGAAATGGGGTGATAAAATCTACCTTAGAAGTGGTTATAAGAGTGAGGGGGGAAATGTATTCTGAGTAACTAGTAGAGTGTCTGACAAGTAGTACATATTTCAGAAATGGTTGTTTTTATCGTTAACCTGGATGCTATGTTTTAATTCATTAGGAGGGGACAAGGGAGATGATTCTTACTCTGACACAGGTCTGCATTAATCTTTTCTGTCTCTAGGTTGACTATATTTCAGGGAAAGTTTTCTTCACCACCTGTTCTAACTTAAATATGCTGAGAAAATTAAAATCTGCAGAAAGATTATTTTTGCTGATTAAAAAGCAGTTTCCACTTATTGTTTCTTCTGTAAGTAAAGGTACAGTATATGCCTGTTGCTTTTACACACATGATATATTATACTCCAAAGTTTTCTGCCCAGTAATTAATTTGTAGCCATTTCATATTTTTAAGATTCATTCATACCTGTGGAATCACTAATTATGTATTTTTCTATATTTCCCGAATATTACCACCATATTAATCATATTGTCACCTAATGTGTCTCTTTGCAACCTGCTACCTATTATCTGAGCCTTAGTGTCCTGAGTCATATTTCTTCTGTTTTAATTATGACCAGACACCTTCTCTAAAGATACATGTGATGCATTGCTTCTCTTTAGATTTAGGAGCGTATAAGAACCCAGAATGCATGGTTTTAGTAAGCTGATCAAAACTGTCACTTTGTACTTTTTAACTGATTAATTATATTAACTGGAAAGAATACTATGTAATAAAATTTCGTTTGGGGGTCCTTAAATTTAAGGTTTTAAATAAATTTGTACCCATTAGTAAAGCATCACAGCTAAAGGGGACTTAAGAGACTCCCTGTTCACTCGCTAATTTTATAAATATGCTGCTAAAATAATTGAAGGATCTTAATAGAAGCAACAATAAAGGGTCAGATACTGCTAGACTAAACTTTACCTTAAACTTCATCTTAATTGTTGATTGTGCACATGAGATCATGTAATATTATGGTCTGTACCAAACTGTGTTAGTAAAGATATAAATGGCAAGAAATCAAGACAGGGCAGAAATGTTGTTTTAAAGCAGATCCTCAGGTGTTATACCCTGGGGTCGATAGAATTTCATCCCAACATTCCACATTCTCATCTTAGAGAATACTGTAATTACTGTTGGGACATCTTGACCCTTCTTCATCAAAAAACAATTACATTGTATTGAGCATGTGGGCAGTCCCTAACTTATGAATGGGTTGTATATCTGAAGTGTTACTTTATGAAAACTCACTTTATGAAAATTCATTGTATGATGTATGCTACTATTGTATGGTCTAAGATAGTCTCAAGATTCATTTGCCCTTGTTTCTAAGCTTTGTTTTGCAGTTTATTCTGTTTTTTCACCTAGTTTTTATAGGCAAGATCTGCATTATTTCAAAGATTAATACATACTCTAGGCCTATGCATATATTGAAGGTATAGATATATATTATCATAATACAAATGATCTTGCCAAAATACATGATAATTCTATAGGAATTTTTAAATAATTTCATATTAAGTATGGAATATAAGAATGAACTTCAGTGGCGCCTGGGTGGCTCAGTCGGTTAAGCGTCAGACTCTTGGTTTTGGCTCAGATCATAAATCACAGTCTGTAAGTTCGAGCCTCACATCGGGCTCTGTGCTTCCAGTGCTGGGCTCTGTGCTGCTGGTGTGGAGTCTGCCTATGAGTCTCTCTCCCTTTCTCTCTGCCCCTCCCCCCTCAAATGCTCACTTGCTCTCTCTCAAAATAATAAAAAAAAAAAGAACGACCTTTATTCTGCACAATACTTTTATGTTAAATTATATAAACTCCAAGTGAAGGTGAATTCACTATTCATGTAACAGTTTAATAAAGCCTATTTTAAAGAAATAAAGGTAGTAGAATTTGAAGATGATGATAGTAATAGACTGTCTTTAAAGCTTCATTGTAGAATTAACTGTGAACTTATTTATTTAGGAAAGATACTAAATGAAATACAAAGACTTATAACTGATGATCCAGAAAGTTGGTTGAATACCATTTCAACTTGGAAAAATCTTCTTGAACATGATGCAAAAAAGGACAAACTTTTTCAAAGAGCCGATAACCCGCCAAAAAGAAAAGTGGAGGCAAATGACATCATCAATGCTAAGAAATTAAAAACAGAACAATTGCAAATGTTACAAGAGAATAAGGAATGCCAGCCAGAAAAGCAAATAGAAGAAGAAACATGGGAGCAAGGATACTTTCTCACTAAAAGAGAAAAATCTCAAGAAGCACTTCAGAACGATGTAGTAAAAGCAGCTGATGCCCTAAACCAGAACGACTTGACATTCAGAGTTTCTTGTCGCTGCAGTGGAGCTATTGCAAAGACCTTTACTGCACAGGTACACTTACCTCCCAAGGCAGGGTTCCATTTTCTCAAAGGATTTACTACTGTTTAGATTTAAAATGAGATGACAGCTTTTCACAGAACAATTAAGTAGGCTGAGGCACATAACTAGGCATAATGTCATGTAATTAAATCTATTTAAAAAGCATTCTCAGGTTGTTGTTTTTTTTTAGTGTTTATTTATTTTGAGAGAAAGGGAGAGAGAGAGAGAGAGAGAGAGAGAAAGAGAGAAAGAATCCTAAGCAGGCTCTACACTGTCAACACAGAGCCCATTGCGGGGCTTGAACTCACAGAGGGTGAGATTATGACCTGAGTGGAGATCATGAGTCAGACACTTAGCCGACTGAGCCACCCATGCACCCCTAAAAATGCATGTTCCTTTTTAACTTCACTTCAGATGCCTAAGAATAATAGTATGCCATTCCATGTAATGACCTCCTTTTTTTCCTTTCTCCCTCAAAGTTTCCTTAAACTCAGGTATTCTTTACATTTGGAAATCCTTATTGTCCTAAGCTTTTGGGCTTTCTCTTCAGTTCAGTTCTGTGTTTATTAAACGGCTGCTCTGCACTATGCCTTGTGTGTGTGATTGTCACCGGGACCCAGACTACAAATACACAAATGCATGAGACCCTCATCTCCATGAGAAGGAATACCACAGTTTCCTTTGAAATACTTTCTGACGTGGCCCTTACGAAGTTCAGTGATGTCAGGGCATAGGTCTGGGTCCTCCAACCAGCCTTTAAATCAGATAGACCCTAAAGTTTCAGTTGTTCTGGTAATTTGTAAACACAGAGGATTGTAGTAGCTAAAATAGTTCATTTTTCACTTTGTATCTATGTTCCAAAACCCACAATGAGCATTTTTATCAATTCATGATCTGGTTAATTCAGCTGTCTAAAGTTACAAGAATAACGATTACATGTGAGGAAGCATCAACGCTGTAAGATGTTTGATGTAAGATGTAAGATGTTGGGGGGTCGAAGAGGCAAAATGCGGCCTTCTTGCCTTGAACAGAAAATGCTTTAGTGTCATATTTTAATATTACAACCGTGACTTACCATCAAACAGTCTGACCTGATTTTTCTACATGCTCTTAGTTTTTGCTTACATTTGAAATGTAAAATTTTCAGGTTTAGTTCTGTTTTCTCTAACTTTCTGCTTTTCCAGGAGGTAGGAAGAGTAACTGGAATTGCTCTTATGAAACAGTTTGGATGGAAAGCGGATTTGAGGAATCCAAATTTAGAGGTACCGAATGTTCATTTTATCTTATGTGCCTATGACCTAATTGTTTAAAGACCATGTCAACTATCCTTACTGCACTTTTCAGTGTTGCTGCAGAGTTTTTAAAAAGCATGTCTGCATGGATCCAGCAGTCCATTTTCCTCCTAATAGTACAGTAGTGCAGATAATTCTGCTAGTATTTTTTCACTGCGAAAATGTCTTATCCAAGTAAGATATTTGCGGATGGAATTATTTTGTCACAGTTGAATTTTAGAGATGCCCTTTACAATCACTAGAATACATAACAGATCTCTAAAATAGAAAATACTGTAAGTAAGTAAATAAATCTAGCTAATGTTAAAAAATATATATGTATAAAACAAAAATGCCCACACAGGATTCAATAGTATGTTAATATGGCTTTGTTAAGATTCTGGGATTATGTTTTTTCTTTTTTTCCCTCTGTTTTCAAAATTAATTTAATTAGGTTTCCCTATATTTCATTGGGACAAAGTAAAACACTTATATGGGAAAACCAATACTAGCCATAAAAATTATTCTTCACTTTTTTGAAAACCATCTGATAAATTTGACAGATGGTTTAGACCTTTTCATGATTCATTGATTCATAAGTTTATTCTTACATAGCTTTAAGTGGAGTAGCTGGCCATATGAGAACATTTCGTGTTGTTTTATCTCTTAATGTTTCTATTTGATATTTTCACTTTTACAGGGTAATGCCTGGTATACGTCCTTCATTACTGTCATGAAAAACATTTTGACCCCAAGAATGTTGTATCACGAGGGGGCCCTCCTCCCACCTCCCCTCTCCAGTTCTCTTACCTTGTCCTCTGCTGGTTTCAGTCTCCATACTTCCCCTTGACCTCATCTCACTGTCTGAGAATTACAGTTTCCTCACAGTTTCGCTAAATACACCTTGCTAATTTAATTCCTATCAGTATTTCATGTAATTAATAATAGCTGTTATCGGTAGAAATAACACAGAGCAAAATCGACAACAGTAAAATCATACAGTAAAATTTGTGAACAAAATTAACAGAAGAATCAAGTCTTAACAAATTTTATTCTATAAAATTAATAGAAAAATGTTATAGTGGGAGAAGCTATTCTTAATGAGGAAATTTGATCTATAAAAATATCACTGTATCTCATCCTTAGTATCAATTTTAAGTAGAAAATAATTCTAATAAACGCTTTTGCTAAAGTCAATAATGCAAAACATTGGAAAGTTTACTTTGATGATTAAGGATTTAATTGACTCACTGGAGTCCATTCAGATCATTCTGTACTTGATAAAAATTTGTTGATATTGGAGTAATTCTGATTAAACAAACTATATAGTAAAAATAACCTTAGAGCGAAAGTATTAAGGGTCAAATGCTCTTGAGATCAAACAGCAGAGTTAGACTATGCCATAAACTTTATCAGACTGTATGAAAGTAAGATTCTAACTTTTAAGTTTTAATCGGGCTACTAATTGTGACATGAGACATTTAAATCCTCTTTATGACCTAACAGAAGAAGGGAGATAGAGAGGAAGAAACTTGCCTACAGATAGTAGAGAAAGAAAAGGTCACCCTTGCTATAATAACTGTGGCCTGAAGAAAATTTTGTTACCCTGGAAATGTGTATAGCCTGTGATGATCCTGTGTGACCTCACATCTTAATTTGAAGTTAAAATTAAGGTGGGAAGAATTAAGGTTAGGAAGTCTTCTCTAACCCAAAATGCTGAAAAGTCTGACCAGTCATGATAATTCAGAGAACCCCAAGGAAGAAAGAACTCCAGATCTCTTCAGAACATGATTCTCCATACACATATCTTGTATACCAAATTATCAGCAGAATCTTTCTATGGAATGTACTGAAAATTTACTTTGCCTCTACTCAGGAAAAAGTATTATGGGGGGGCGCCTGGGTGGCTCAGTCAGTTAAGCATCCAACATCAGCTCAGGTCATGATCTCACAGTTTGAGTTCAACCCCCACATCAGGCTCTGCACTGGCAATGTGGAGCCTGCTTAGGATTCTCTCTCCCTTTCTCTGCCCCGCCCCTACTTGTGCTCTCCCTCAGAATAAATAAATAAAACTTTAAAAATAAATATATTATGGAACATTTTTCCATATATGACAAACAAGGCCTTAGAATTTTTTTTTAAAATACAGGGCTATTTAAAAAATTTTAAATAAGAGATAAAATATAGATTATATACAGCTTCAACATGGAAATTTTCAAATTATCAGTGCATTTGGTAATGTATTTCCCGTTTTGTTCTAATTTCTCTATTTGTTCTTTCAGATCTTCATACATCTAAATGACATTTACTCTGTGGTGGGAATCCCCGTGTTCAGGTAGCTATTGCTCTCTAAGCTTCAGGTGTGTCCCTTAGAGTTTATAAAAGTAAGAACTTCATGCCCTTATTTCTAGTATGAAACATCGATGTAACAGAGGGGGCTAAGAGCAAAGCATTAGAGTTCTCTACTTGAGTCACTAAAGTGTTTTCTTAGTACATAATGCTTATGATTTAATCTGGCCAGTTCGAGCTATAAAAGATTTGATTATAATCATTCACTGATTACATGATTCAAACTGAAAATTATATCTAATTATTTCTATTATTAAATGATTTTCACAAGCCCTTAGTCTTTTGGCATCTGGAGTTTTTATTAAAATAGAAAATACAGCACATTTCTTAAAATTCACACCTATACATTCTACAAATTTTATTGTCATTGTTCTTTTATCGTGGGAGAATATTTCCAGTTTTTAAAATCTACTTCAGGTATCACTCTAATCTTGCAGGGTACTATATAATAATAAATGCAAATGATTCATTTCCTTACTTCAAAATGTCTGTTGAACACTTACATAACAGGTATTTCTCTAGATGCCTTAGGAAGAAAGAGCAGGTTGGATGAAAATAGTGATTTCCAGTTTTTTACTTGGAAGCCTGTAAATATTGTTGGCATCTTAATTAAAAACATTATATATGCACATCCCTGTTTACACAGTATAATGTGATTTAGATACCCTTTTGCTAGATTCTAGGCATGGAATATTTTTAAAGATTATAAAAATTCTATAATAATACCCCATTTGCGCTAAGCTCACGCTTATGCATCTGTAAGCCCAAAGCAGGATGTAAAAAAGAATGCTTAAGGTTATTATAATAGTTTTTATCAAGCTTCTTTGTTCATTGCATTTAGAAAGGTAGAAATAATATTTTGAAAACTTCCATCAAATCTGGAAACACCGATAGTAACAGTAAGGAAGCATAGGATAAAGTATGAAGTGGTACATAGTGGAGGCCAGTGAACTCATCTGGGAGATGTGTGCTTCAGCCCTTCATTCCATAAATTATTTTAGACAATGCAGTGTCATGCTTCATTTCATCTTTTGAGAAAGATGCAAATGAGCAAAAAGCAAACTGGCAAAAGGGATTTTTTTTCTAGAAAACAGATTTGAAGGGTTAGCCTCCATTCAGCCCTGCCTCCCATACCACACCTCTGGTCACAGAACATGATGTTCCTCTTGCTGACTCGGGATCAACGAGAAAAGGCCTATTCCATGTGGGAAGAAAGGGAAGTATATTAACCCTTGAGAAATATCTCCTGCATATGTGAGTAGATTTTTACAAGCTAAACACCTAAGAGTTTAAATTTCAGCGTGTAACAAAGTTACCTTTCTGAAATACCACACTGGCTGGTTGGACGAGGTGCCAATGAAAGAAGGTATTTTTGTCATAAGGTTAAAATATTCTGTAACCAGGGGCTTCTTAGTGTATGTTAGATGAATATAGAAAGAGGAGGTCACAGATACGGACAGGTGAGTCATTTTTATTTATATCATGCTCTTCTCTAACATACAGTAATATTGGGTATGTCATCAGGTTCTTTTGTTTCTAGGGTGCCCTTAGCCAGCAGAGTTTACGTCAGGACAGCAGGCCTGAGGTCTACCATAGCATGGGCAATGGCCTCTCTCGCTGAGATTCAGGTGAGAAATAGTTTTCATTTGATGACAGCAAGGTCCTTTCCGTCATCGACTGATTGATGGGCATCTTAGTTGCTTGCTTGCTTTCTTTTCCTTTCTTCTCATTTCTCTTTTTCTTCTGTCCTTTTCTTTCTCTTGCCTTTTACACTTATGAACTGCTACAGCGATCTAGTTTTACATATCGTTGAACTTCTGACAGCGTTTTGGTTATGAAAAAGCTGAGTCCAAAGGCTACGTTCTTATGATTTCTGATCTTTTATGTCACAGTCACGTGGCCCGTAAAACCTCCACTTCTTAAAAATTTAAGTTTTTTCTCTATGACCAAGATCTCGATAATTTTTATAAATGTTCTGTGGACATAAGAAAGTAATTTTATTTTTTAGTCAACAAATGTCCGCTGTATTACTGTTTTACTATCTGCACAAGTCTGAAAGAGGTATTTCAAAATCTCATCATGTTACTGTATTTGCATTTTTGCTAGCCGTTGCTTTCATCAGCTCTGGTCTAGTTTGGTATGTGCACATTTATGACCGTTACCACTTCATCAGAAATGGTGTCTTTTCATTGTAACATGAAGTTCTCTTTATCTCAATTAGTGAGTTTAAACTTAAATTTCTTGTGTCTTATTAATATTTTTAGTCCTGTCTTTTTCTATGCATTTGCTGCATTTCTCTGCCATTGCTTTATTTTCAACTTTGCTTTCGGTTTGCTTTTTTTGTTTTGTTTTGTTTTGTTTTGATCCCATTCTGATGGTCTCTGTCCTCCAGTGAGGGAATTCGGTGTTATGACAGACACACTTGATTGTGTTTTTTCCTATTCTACTCTGTTTTTAACAGTTTTACACTGTTTGTTTTCACTGGCTTGATCAAGTTACTTGATATTCACTTCATTGCTCTCCTTGAGGTTGGAGATTATACTGTATTGTTCTGTTTCACTAATGGTTCTGTTCCCCGCTCTCCTAATTAAACACATGGGACTTGTCTATTGCTTTAAAGCAAGCTACCAACTCTTTCCTCTGTCGGGACGCTTTTTACCACCAAAAAACTCTAAGCTTACCCTCTTCCCTCGCACAATATGAGGCCTCGAGAGTGCTTTTCTTCTCTTCTCCTGACCCCCTCTTTACTCCTCCCTACAATGAGACCTTTGAAGCATTTTTACACCCTTCCCCTCTCAGCACCCAACTATTAGATTGTACTAAATTCTTTATCATGTGTAAGAATTTCCCTCACAGTATGCCCCTTCTGTTTCAAAAGTTCTTATTTAGCACTTACATTACACAGCCTGTCATTGTGCACACGTGCGCGCGCGCACACACACACACTCACTTTTCCATGTAAGCAAACAAAGACATGTTTCAAGGTGTATCGTTCTTCCCCACTGTTCTTCTGTATTTGAGGTCTCTGCTCTGGTTTATTTGTTGCTTGGTCAAAGTCTTTTCTTAGGCAATTTCTTCAAATGTGGTGTCCAGTTAATACACAATTTGAAATTCCTATATATCCTCAAACTTATTTTTCATCCTGGGGTACAGACGCGTGTCAGATGGCTTTAAGAGTTGTGTCAGTCCCCTCCCCTCAGGGGTCTGTAGACACTGTCCCCTTGTCATTTAGTTTCCTGTGTGCTAGGTGAGCACTACACACCAGTACAATTTCCTTTTCCTTTAGAGCTGCCTGTCTTTCCACTTGGGGGCTTGTAAGACTTTCCCTTTAATCCTCCAAAGTTCAGGAATATTAGCAGGATATACTTACATATGTGCATTTTCTGTTCAGCCCACGCTGAGTTCTTATTCTGGTCACACCACTGACTTCCTAGAAAACTTGGGGCAAGATATTTAACTGTGTGCCTCAGTTTCTCACTTGCAAGGTGAAAATAATAATCTCCTAGGGTCATGTGAGGACTAAGTGAATTAGCATTTCTCAAATGATTAGAACAGTGCATGGCATATAGAAAGTGTTTAAGTCGATGACAGTAATAACTATGGCTATAATAATTACAGAAGTTATTGTTATTATTTCTTTGGCTCAGGCACTCTTTCTTTCATTATTTAATTATTATTGTCCTAGCTGTTTTGCTCTAGTGGCTTTTACCTTAAACTACTTTCTTTTTCTGCTTCTGAAGTTATAAACATGTTAAGCCTCCTGGTGCTATTCTCCAAGTTGCTTATCCTCTCTCACCTGGTTTCCATCTCTTCATAGTTTGGTTCTACATATTGACTTATTCTTGAATGTTATCTTCCAGGCTGTAACAAGAGTCATAGAAATATGTTCTGCTTTATTCATTGGAACATTTTAGCTTAAAAATCATTGTTTTTTAGCTTTGAAAAGTTTTGCGTGTGTGCGCACTACATTTGAATATCTCTAGAAGCTCTTATCCCTTTTCTTCAGATACTTACCTGTCTTCTGGAGTCCTGTTTCATTAGAAGCACGTTTAGATTGTTCTGCTCGTTCACTCTCTTGCTACTGATGGACCCCTACCCTTTAGATTTGCCTTTTTTTTTTTTTAAGCTCACTGAGAGTCAATTGTGGTTATTAAAATACTTTAAATGGCTAAAATCCTGTAACTGGCAAAGGGCAGATAGATCGGTGGCACCACTGGGCTCGGCAGTGGAAGGAGACCCTGTCGGCCACGCTGGAAACCTTTTCTAGGGGAGAACTTTCCTGTTCACAGGTCTCCCTGCAGGTCCGTAGATCTCTGCAGACCAGGTTCTCCCCGGTTCCGGTGATTTCCCCCTCTGGGCTCTGGTGCTCGTCTCTAACCCCCCACCCAGCCGTGGCAGAGGCCCCAGGCCACTTCCTTTTTCTGGGACCCAAACCAAGGCCAGGGCATCTCTTGGCATTTAGTTGCCCCTAGGTCTGACCATCACTTGGGCTCAGGGGAACTGAAGAGCTTGGAGGGGAAGAGAAAAGAAGAAAGCTGCTCTGAGATTATCATGTTCCCAGAATCCATGATGTTCTTTGTTATTTGATTTTAATCTTTAGTCCAAATCTCTTTTAGTCTAAGGAGTGAGTTACGGTTACCAAGTAGCCAATGATCTCACCACAGTTTATATAACAACATATATGTGTGTGTGTATTATATAAATATAAATTTATATAACCACCTACAAGCCTGAAATGTTACCTTTGTCTTGACATAAACATCCATTTGTCAGAAAAGTGGAAAGCAAATTAAAAATATCCAATGATAATGCTTGTTAAAATTTTCCCTTACTGTCAGTTTGCCTTGCCAGAACCTAGAGTAAGAAATGTTCCTCTAAATGTGACCACCAGCATCGGGATATTAAAGCGTGTGAGAAGTAGCACAGCACAGCTGTTGCGGAGGAGTTGAGTAAAGACCCACAGTGTAAATGATCCCAGTACTTAGCCTTGATCCAGCCCCCTCTAGGGAGCGCGGTACCCAGAGCAGTGCATACACAGCTCAACCTTGGGTAAGCCAGCACTGTTAGCAGTGACATCTAAACGTGAGGATGTCAGATATTTTTCATTCGTACCACACACTGTTCTCCTTCCTACATACCCTGAAAAGGAAGGGGCACCCGGGTGGCTCAGACGGTTAAGCCTCCAACTCTTGATTTCGGCTCAGGTCATGATCTCACAGTTCGTGGGTTCAAGTCCCACATTGGGCTCTGTGCTGGCAGTGTAGAGCCTTCTTGGGATTCTCTCTCTCCCTCTCTCCCTGCCCCTTCCCCACTTGTGCTCTCTCTCTCTCAAAAGAAAGAAATAAAACTTTTTAAAAAATCCTAAAGAAAATCAAGTTCTGTAAGTCTTAGTTGTTAAGATAAGCATACAGAAATACTTGTCTGCTTCTGCCCCTGTACCCAGATGTCACAGCGAGAGCAGGTCCTATGTTGACATTTATGGATTTTAAGGTCAGACTGCCTCATTCGGCAGGGACCGTGTTGGAGAGAGGAGGAGCACGGTGTTTGACACGTACCAAGATCTTAATGACGATTAGGTCTCAGACCACCGTTATTTTTAACGAAGCTGTCATTTATTTAGATCACTGTTCTTTTCACTTATCCCCCCTTCGTGGGGGCATCCATAGGATACTCTCCTTCGAATTTCCTGCCAGAGGAGAATCTCCCCTTCCCTCTCCTGAAGCACTGTATGTTTCTTTCCATTAGGTGTCCTCTGGCTCTGACGGAAGCCTGGCTGTGCACTGAGGGCTCTGCTTCCTCTGTAGACCTATCGGGACCAGGGGCCCGGAGGTGGTAGGTGTCCCGCTTGCTCCTTCTGCCCAGAACCTCTCTGTGCCTCTGAAGCACGTGCTGGGAAACTGTCCCAGTCACAGGTAGACCTCTCTTGTGTCATTCCTACCAGAGCATAGGCCACTGTTCTGTCACAGTGCTTTTATGATCTCCGTATCCGCTCTGTGACCTGACCCGTTAGCATCTCGGCTTCCCTACCTCTGACGGCCTGCCCTGCTCACATCCTGTACCCTCTCATGCCCAGACCATGAATCTCAGCTTCTGGAGGCCCGCTCTTAGCCTCGTTCTCCGGGCGGTTCAGCTCCCCTGGCGCCCTGCCACACAGGTCCTCCGCCCCCGCGGGGGATGGTCCTGGGGCCTCACCGCCGCGCGCCGCTCACCTTCGCGGCTTGGATTCTACGTTCCGCCAGGACGGTCGTTTCCTTGCCCACACTTGTCACTCTCTTGCTCCTCATTTGACTTCCATCTTGGGCTCGGCAGAGAACTGCAGCGTGTTCTCCTGACCAGCACGCTGGAGCCTCACCCACGCGCTCGGCCTCACCGCGCTCGCGACAGGGGAGCTGTCCTTGTTTCCCTCCAGTGCTTGCGGCCGGACCGCCGCCTCGGGCCCACCGGAGGACGTTCCCTGCTGCACACGCCCAGCAGCGCGTACGCTTGATTTAGTCTCTTGCAACTTAAGAAAATGGCCCTTTCCTGAACCCACATGCTGCTTCTCTGCTTCCCTTTACAGAAAAACCCTTAAAAATAGTTGTCCATATTTGGTGTCGCTACTTCCTCCCGTGTGTCCTGTGCCCACTTCTGTCAGGCTGTCATCACCAACACTCCGCTGACACTGCTCATCTCACTTACCTGTTAGCACTCTGATACTGTCATCACCACTCTCCTTGTTGAAACATGTTTCTCCACTTTTTTTTGGAACACCACTCTGGTTCTCCTCCTACATCAGTATGTGCTGCTGTCAGTGTGCAAGGCTGATCTTCATCTACCAACGTCTATACTTAGGAGATCACCAGGGTCCAACCCATAGACTTTTCTTTTTTAACTTCTCTCACATTCTAGATGACTCATCTAGTTCTGATGCTTTAAATATCATTTATGACTAACACCGAGTGTTCCCAACTTCGTATCTGTAGCCTGAACCTCTCCCCTGAACTCCAGACCCATATGTTCAACAAATCACTTGACATCATCCATACTTGGTCTAAGAGGCATCTCAAACTTTAACATGTCCAGAACCATACTCCTGTCTCCTTCGAAGCTTCTCCTCCCCATCTTTTCCCATCTCAGTAACAGGGGAGTCCGTTCTTCCATGTGCTCAGGTCAAAACCTTTAGTCATTTCTGGCTATTGTCATTCTTTAACATCCCACATCCAGTCCATCCCATTGGCTCCACCTTAAAAACTTATCTAGAATGTAACCACTTCTCACCACTCTTACCAATACCACTGTTAATTCAAGTCGCCATCATCTCTTGCTGGCATCCCCTAACTAGCCTCCCTCTTAACGCTCTTACCCTTCTCTGGTCCGTTCTCAGCAGAGCAGCCAGAGTGAGCCGTTTGAAGTGTAATGTCATGCTTCTTCTCTGCTCAGAACCTTCCAGTTTCCCATGCTTCAGAAGACAACCAGAATTCTTACAGTACCTACAAGATGTGACGTAATGTGACATCCCTCCCCCAGAATGGGAATAATTGTTTTTTTCTCCAAATTTCTTGTTTTCCTAGGCACAAGTAGGTTTACACTTTCCTCACCTCTTCAAATTGTGTGTGTGTGACTGACACGCTTTAGCCAATTAAATGTTGGTGGGAGTGATGTGTCTCACTTCCAGACGGCACCTTTAAGAAAGTACATACTATGTCATGCTGCTTTTTCCCCTCTGATGGCAGTGCTCTGGATGGTGACCACCTCATGAGTTTGTCTCCCAGACTACGAAGCAGAAGCCCCCAATGCCCCTCTGAGGGGACGTAGCATTAACTATGTGTCGTTTTCAACCTCTAAGATTTGGGGATTGTTACTACATGTAACATAACCCAGGCCATCTTTTTTTTTTAATATGTATTTTTGAGAGAGAGAGAGACAGAGTGTGAGTGGGGAAGGGCAGAGAGAGAGGGAGACACAGAATCTGAAGCAGGCTCCAGACTCTGAGCCATTTGCAGAGAGTCTGACGCAGGACTCAGACTCACAGACTGCGAGATCATGACCTGAGCTGAAGTCAGACGCTTAACCGACCGAGCCACCCAGGCACCCCCTAACCCAGTCCCTCTTGACAGAATACCCTGACTACCTCTAATGTTAACACTGCATTTCCCTGTCACTCACTCTGCTTTGGCCACACCAGTGACCTTCCTAATCTTCATACATGTCGAGCATGCGCCTACCTTCTGGCTTTAACCACCTGAAATTCCTAATAAAGTGTAAAAAGCAATCTTTACTCTTGAAATTTTGATTCTTCGAGTTTTAGGTTTCTGTTACGTATTATGATAGACCGAATAATACCAAGTCAATATTTCTGTCTGTAGGCTGGTGCATTTGTTTTAGATCCAATGTGTGGACTTGGGACAATACTTTTGGAAGCTGCTAAAGAATGGCCAGTAAGTACTAAAGTTTGGTAGATCAAGCAGTGTGTTTCCTTTAATCATTATATGTATTTTCCCTGATCAGTTCTTTACAAATAGATTGTCTTTTCAGGATTAGTAGTTTTGATTACATGAGTTGCTATTTACTGTTGTCAGAATGGAATATGAAGGGTTAAATGGCTGTGTTATTTCTTAAAATCCTATGATAAATTTAGGAAAATGTGAGCAATTTCAGTGATAAGTCATGACAGATTATGCTCATCCCCAAATTCTTTAAGTATTTGTTACTGTGAAATACACTAATAGTTTTTAAAAATTAATAAAAACTTCCAATTTTTTACTATTGAATATCATTTTAAAGAAATTCTATAAGTTTTTTTTTAATGTTTTATTTATTTCTGAGAGAGAGAGAGAGGCAGCGTGAGCAGGGGAGGGTCAGACAGAGAGGGAGACACAGAATCCAAAGCAGGCTTCAGGCTCTGAGCTAGTTGCCCGACGCGGGGCTCGAACCCACGAACCGTGAGATCATGACCTGAGCTGAAGTCGGACGCTTAACCAACTGAGCCAACCCAGGCACCCCACTATAAGTTTGTTTTAACCTGAATTAAGGAGTCCATTCAATTCATTTTCATTATTTGAGAGAAAGGAAGTAGGTTTTCTTAACTACATAAAATGTCGGGGAGTCTCATTTATACTTAAAACATGAATTTCTTTCCTCATAGGATGTATATTACGTGGGTGCCGATGTCAGTGACTCACAGTTACTAGGTGCATGTGACAATCTGAAAGCTGCAGGCCTTAAGGATAAAATTGAGTTACTTCAAGTCTCTGTTACAGGTAAGACATTAAAAATGCAAACATTTGGGAAAATGAACATATGTAATAAATATATTTAGAGTCATAATATTAAACAGTATTCACTTTCCATATGTAAAGGTTGAATTCTCTGGGGCTAATACTTGATTGATTTCCAATATTATAATTACAACTTATTTTTCAAAAGATTATTAGTACCAACATTTATATAGTCTCCCTAAGCATTTAAGTGAAAGTGCCTCTTTAAGGTGTGTTTGTTGTATGTGATCTGTTCCTCATATCGTAACCAGAGATCACTTACTATAGGCATAAAATAGAGGACAGAATAAAAATAATATTTAATAATAATAATAATAATAATAAAAACTTTGGATTTTTTCCAGATAAACTGAAATGTTCTGATATTATCTTACCTTTCTCTTGCCTCACACTGGACAGTAAATAGGAACGAGGTACCAGCCTTCCCTGTTTGCTAAACCAGTTCTTCCGGTGCTAAAACTGGGAAGGTCTGGGGCACACCAGGAGAGTTAGTCATCCTGTGAGGTAGAGGGAAACCCGCTGGGGAATCAGCAATAACAGACTAGGAATCGGCTCTGCTGAGTCCAATCAAAATAATATTTCCCTCAGACCCATCCATGGTATATAGATCATTTTAGACAAGCCTCACATTCCTTCTTTTCTCCCCTTTCTTCCCTTCCCCTAGTACATCTTTCTCCCTTAGGAACGAGTGCATTTAATTTCCAACTAAGAAAATGGCATTCTCTTGATCCGGTGTGAATAGGTAGTAGATGGTCCCAGTGTTAAACCTATAATCTGGAGAAACAAAATAATTGTTTAGAGATTTTTTTAATGCAGTGGAGGTGTAATAGAGTATCAAGAAGATGTTAGGGTAACTATGTGTCAAAACGTAATAAAGCAGCCCCAGAGAAGGTGTATTGGTTTTGGGGATTTTTTTGCTTTTTTTTTTTTAATTAAAAAATTTTTTTTAATATAATTTATTGTCAAATTGGCTAACATACAGTGTGTACAGCGTGTTCTTGGTTTTGGGGATAGATTCCCGTGATTCATTGCGTACATCCAACACCCGGTGCTCATCCCGACAAGAAGGTGTATTGTTGATTGAGATCTCAGAGTTGTTTACTGCCGATGACTATTTTTTCAATCTTTCTGTCAAAGTTTTAATGGGATAAGATGTAGGTTTCTAGAGGAAACGAAGCGTGATGAGGCCGAAATCAGCTCTCATGAACTCTGATTTCTTTCAGAAAGCTATTTGGTGGGGGGAGGTTACTTGGGAGAAGACTGGACTGGCTTCATCAGCTATTGCAGCTCAGTGGTTTTTCAAACCTTTACGATCTCCTGAGCTCCTTGGAGGCATTGGGAGGGAAGTACTGAGCACTCCATCTGACCTCCGCCATGCTTCCAACTCCATTTTTATCTATTTTCATGTGGGGGGGGGGGCTTTTCCCCACAAGATTTCACTTTAAAAACAAGCAAAAGGCTCAGTTTTAAAAATAATGAAAGTGTTAAAAACAAAAGGTTTTCTATGGCACCAAGTAGCCAAATGAATCCTAGCTTTTGGAAGGATCGTTGTCACTGCCATGTCAAGAATAGACCACAGCAGAGGGGATGGAAACAGGACACAAAGTAACTAGGCACAGCCTATTGCAATAATACAGTAGGAAATGATGGTGGCTTGGCCCCAAGCGCTATTCATGAAGGTGTTGAGAAGAGGTCAGATACATAAGTTTTGAAGGTGGAGTGAGCAGGATGTGCTGTTGGATTCAGCGTGGCACGTTAAGTGAACAGGAGTGATGTAAGCAGCCGGAGGGTGGGGTCGCCGCCCTCGGAACTGGGGAAAACCGCTGCGGAGCATGTTGGAATTTGGGAGCCTGATAAATTCCACGCGATCACTGGGTACCAAGTGGAGAAGATGACAAGCTAATAGCCCCATGCCCAGATCTGGAGTTTAGGGGAGAGGTGAGGCAGTAGCAGCATAGATAACGTCTAAATCCAGTAGATCCCCTTGGGAGTGAGGAAACATAGAAAAGGGAGAGCACTTGAGAAGAGAAGTTGTGTGAGGCTTCTCCACGCCAGCTGCAGACATAAGTGCACGTTTCCCTAAACCATTGTCGAGACTAGGTATTACCATTTTATTACAGCTTTTTTGAACTCCAAATTTGGTGTGTTTTCCAAACTTCCTTTTCCTTAATTACTAGTGAGATAAAACATTTTTCACATTACATCATTTATAGATTTTTCTTTGGTGAATTAATTGTTTTCAGGGTAACTTTCTCTGGAGAAAAGAATAAACCATCTGTTTTAAATTGTTTCATCATCCTAACCTTTTAATATTAAATTTCAGTCTAGAGGGAACCATATATATCTTGGTACAGAGGGGCCATAATTAACTGTTTAATAATTAGCCCTTCATAATACATCTCTGCTTAAGAGGTGGACATTGGAGCTGGATCCAAGTATTTATTTTCTTCACTAATTTGGTTTTACGTTTCAAACCTTTAATCATAAACCCAATGTAGAATGATGAGACCCATGAATCCCTTGTTCAGCATTGACCGGTGTGAGGATTTCACATCTTTTTACTAGAGTAAAAGTCTTTACTTCAGACTTCAGAATCAAACAGACCAAGTATAAATCCCGGCTCCACCGTTGCTTCTTTACTCTCTGGCCTTCAGCAATATCCTGGGCCTCTGTATTTTACCATCTACGAAGGTAATCCCTACCTCGTAGAGCCTGCGGTGAGGATTTGTCACATAAGCACACAGAGCACGCTGCCTAACATAGCGTGATTAAGGACCTCAGTAAACATGGGTTCATCTGGGAAGTTAGTAATACTCCCATCGTGATTTATTTCTGCAGAATTGCTATCTTTGTTCTCTTTGTGAGCTTTTAATGACTATGTTTTTTCTACCTTTTTAGTAACTTTCACCTTATACTTTCTAATAGTATAAAAGGAGATGATCCTTTAATATGCAGAAACTGCATGTGTTTATTCCTAAGTTTTAATTATAATGAAAATTTGGAACCAAATGGATATTATGTTACAGGCTATCTTGGGAACTAATTAGTCATTGGTTAGGCTTTGTTTTTTGTGAATCTACAGATATATATGCATTCCTAGGATAAGATGGAGAGCTGTAATATATACAGATTTGAGCAAAAGAAACACGTGTTTAAATTAATTAAAATGACAAAATTGTTGACAGGTGAAAAAAGGAATGTTTTCACTCCTTCCAAGTAGACATTCTATAGCCTGTCACACATTACTTCAGTGAGAATTTATAACAAGCGTTTTGTTTTGTTTTTTTACGTGCTTTATTTATTTCTAGGAGAGAGAGAGAGACAGTGTGAGCAGAGGAGGGTCAGAGAGAGGGGGAGTCACAGACCGAAACAGGCTCCAGGCTCCGAGCTGGCCGTCAGCACAGAGCCCGACGCGGGGCTCGAACCCGCGAACCGCGAGATCATGACCTAAGCGAAAGTCGGACGCTTAACTGACTAAGCCACCCAGGCGTCCCGTAACAAGCATATTGTTAACAACTGCGCTTTGTTCTTAGGTGTCATTCATTTCTACCCTTGTAGGAATAAGGCGTGCTTTTTTTTCAGTACACCCATAAGCTGCCCATAATGTGGCTGCGTTTTCCTTCATATCAGTGTGAGCTTTCCTCTAGTACCTATCCTGCCCTTGCTGGCCTGGGCCCTGGTGTTCCACCCACATGTCTAGTGGCCCGGGATGTATTATACAAGAATCACGAAGCTGCCAGGCTCCATGTTTGGGAAATCAGAAGGCAGTGTGGGAAGTGATGGGTTAGGTGTATGTGAAGTATGTGGAAATAGGGGATAAAAAGCTTACCACAGAGACTTGTTGGACTGCTCTCTTTGGTCCAGTGGCCTTACAGTTTATTGTATGGTATCCTTTTTCATTGTTTGATAACACTTGTATTCTGAAACAAACTCTTTCAACAGTAGGAAGTTCTTAAAACACAGGTCTCATGAAAAAGTAAATACAGAGTTTCCATTTCTCAAGCAAGCTGATAAACACATAACTTAAGCGTCTGTTGACATTCATCAGCCACCAGGGGCCCATGGTGGTATCACTAACCAAATGAAACAGATCTGTTTTTAGGTGTGTGTAGCATTTATTTCAAAACATCACAGTTATTTTAAGGGGACTGAGCCCAAAGACCGTCATTTATCAAATGCAGCTAAATAAAATGCATTTAACTATCACTCTGTAAAGCATGACTTTTCATTTAGATCAAATGACTATTCTAAATTAATGTTGCTCATTTTCAGTTCCAAGTTTTCTTATGTACATAAACGAAATGAAGCTATAGCTATTGATTTGTTAGTTCCACTAATAGAAGACCTTTGCAGACAGTTAAATGTTGCCAATTTTCATTCAGTGTTATCAGATGCTTCAGAAAGAAAATCCCTAGGGGCACCTGAGTGGCTCAGTTGGTTAAGCATCCAACTTCGGTTCAGAGCATGATCTCACGGTTGGTGAGCTCCAGCCCCTCATCGAGCTCTCTGTTGCCTGCTTTGGATCTGTCCCCCGACCCCTCCCCTGTGCACATTTGCTCTCTCTCAAGATAAACATTTAAAAATAAATAAATAGGGGCGCCTGGGTGGCTTAGTCAGTTAAGCGTCTGGCTCTTGGTTTCGGCCCAGGTCATGATCTTACAGTTTCATGGGTTCAGACCCTACTTCCGGCTCCATGTCAGGCTCTGCACTGGCGGTGCGTAGCCTGCTTGGGACTCTCTCTCTCCCTCTTTTTGCCCCTCCCCCACTCACATTGTCTTTCTCTCTCTCAAAATAAATAAATAAACTTTAAAATAAAATCAATATGCACAAAAAAATATCCTGAAGACTCTTAAAACCTATTGGAAGAAAATATATTAGGGCCATAATTCTGAGTTTTAAGCAGTTCTTACCCATTTTTCTTCCAGCAAGAGGAAGATATAGAGCACTTCTTTTGTTCAAGATACACCAGTATTGTGCATTTTTTTCATGTTCTTGAGTCATCCTGCAGAGTTATACAAAAGGGATGACTTTTACATATTTGTTTTAAGCTATGTTCTATTTCAGATTCTTATTATCTCCTTAACTACAAGCAGACTCTTTGTTCATAGGCCATTCAAGGCATTTAGTTATTTAAAAGATGTCATGTGTTGAAAATTACGGATCAGGCGCTCCTGATTTCAGGAGTTTGCTCATCAGAAGCTCACGAGGTAGGGCCGACAGTCTGCGTTTTACCAGCCCTCCGGTCGGTTCTGACACGCACTACATAGTAGGTTAGGGATGAAGGGAGCGGGACTTCGCACTCGTGGTTCCCAGGAGATTCCGCGGCTGCTGGTGTCTTCTGGCGAGGCTGCCCAGGAGGGGCGGCGGTGGCCTTGAGAACCGCTGCTGGAGGAAGAGACGATCGAGGCCCACATGGGAGCAGTGGCCCTGCACGCACCTGGGGGGCCGTGAGAAGGAAGTGCCGTGTTCTCCAGAGGCCCTTTGAAGGGTCCTGGCCCACTGGTCTTGAGCTGGCCATCATCTGCCTGTACACCCATGGAGAACACTGTACTTAATCACCAGTCATTGAGCGCTCACTGTGTGCCAGGCCCTACCCTGAATGCTTTCCATAAATGACCTCGCTCATTACCTTCTGAGATGGCTACCCTCACCCCACTTTACAGATGAGGAAACTGAGGCAGCCATTTCCCAAAGTCTGGTAGCTCGTGAGTGGCAGATGCAAGGTGTGTGATGGCGGGTACTGCCTGCACTCTCAGTCACATCAACAAAAGCTTATTTTATGCTCTATTGGAAGATAGCATTGCTTAGTTCTGGAACTTTTTGAAAAAAAAATGTATTCGGTTTAAGTTTATTCCTTCCACTTCTAAAATTACTTAAAGCAGTTTAGCAAATTATATAATACAGAGTAGGAAAGTTGCAAATAAAAATAGAGACTGACAGAAGAAAAAAAATGTTACCAAACTGAACAAACTGGGCAGCTAGCGTGTGTGTGTGTGTGTGTGTGTGCGCGCGCGCGCGCGTGCACACCCAAGAAAGACATGGGCTCACACTCTAGAGTCAACTGCTGCATTGCACTGTTTCTCCTGTATAAAATATCTGATAACCATCATTGCCTTCATCATACATTGCCTTGAGTAGTCCTGCATAAAGTATAGAAATGGTATTTAAATGTACGTGTCCTGGATCAACACCCTAAAACTAAGTACATGAAGCTAAAATATGACTTAGAAAAAAAAAATTGATGTCTGGCTTTAAAAGAATATTATCCTGATACTTTTTTTTCTAATAACCTATTATTCTTTTTCCTACTAATCTCAAGTAAGGGTTAGAACTAGGAAAGATCAAGTGTTCGTTAGACTTTCCCCGAAAATGGGATTTTTTTGTTTTGTTTTTAAATTTCCAGCCAACAAAAATTTATATGGTATTTAGAAGAGCAAAGGGTATTTAAATTGTGTTCAGTTCTTACTGAATTAAATACTATTCAAAAAATGAAATTTGGGACATCTACCTTAAGAATATATAACTAATTTACATGATGGATGGAGGAAGTAAAATAAGTACAAAGTGAAAAGTACACTCAGAAAATGTGGAAGTTGGGGCTCCTGGGTGGCCCAGTCGGTTAAGTGTCCGACTTCGGTTCAGGTCATGATCTCATGGTTCATGGGTTCGGGCCCCGCGTCAGGCTCTATGCTGACAGCTCAGAGCCTGGAGCCTGCTTCAGATTCTGTGTCTCCCTCTCTCTCTGCCCCTCCCATGCTCATGCTCTGTCTCTCAATAATAAATAAATGTTAAAAAATTAAAAAGGAAAAAAAAAAAGAAAATGTGGAAGTTAAGATTATGTGTATTACCTTCTGGTAACCCAATTTCTGAGAAATATAAAGATGAGAAAAAAATTCAGATTCAGTAATCAAATGCTACATTTACTTTTATTTAGGAATAATGTTCATTTTGTTGATTATTCATTATTTAGCATTTTCTCTAGTCTTAGGATTTATGTAGATATTGTTAACCTTTGGGGTCTCTTTTAAAATTTCAGTGAAAGCTAAGATCATATCCCTTTTAAAAACAGATATACACATGCAAATTTTTTTTTTTTTTACAAATAGTTTATTGTCAAATTAGTTTCCACATAACATCCAGTGCTCATCCCCACGAGTGCCCTCCTCCATGCCCATCCCCCCTCCCCCCTACATCCATCAGTTCTCAGTTTTTGTCAGCCTTCAAGAGTCTCTCATGGTTTGCCTCTCTCCCTTTCCCCCACCATTTCCTCCCTTCTTCTCCCCCTTGTTCCTCTGTTAAGTTCCTCCTAATCTTCCTATACGTGCAAACATATGATATTTGTCCTTCTCTGCCTGACTTATTTCGCTCAGCATAACACCCTCAAGGTCCATCCATGTTGCTACACATGGCCAGATTTCATTTTTTCTCATTGCCATGTAGTATTCCATGGTATAGATAAACCACATCTTCTTGATCCATTCGTCCGTTGATAGACACTTAGGCTCTTTCCATGTTTTGGCTATTGTGGAGAGTGCTGCTATGAACATTGGGGTACATGTGCTCCTTTGCCTCAGCATTTCTATATCCCTTGGGTAAATTCCTAGCAGTGCTATTGCTGGGTCATAGGGGAGTTCTATTATTAATTTTTTGAGGCACCTCCACACTGTTTTCCAGAGGGGCTGTACCAGTTTACATTCCCACCAACAGTTACACATGCAAAATTTTATATGTTAATTATGAAGAGGGAAATGAAAGACAATATAATTTGTAAAAGGTTTTTCTAGACAATTTAATGTATTTCTTCTTGGATCTAGCAACTTTCTATTCATGTAATATGTTTAGAGAATTCAATTTTCTGATTAATTTAAAATTTTGCGTAATTTATGTCATATCACAACAGAAAAACCAATTTTCAAAGAACAGGATATAATAACTTTATCATTTATTTTTTAGTTGAAAAGCTGTTTAGTAACTTGTAATTTTTTGGAGACAATGTTAGTAACCCTAAATTGTATTTAATATGCAAAAATAATACTGCATACTTCAATTTTCTTATATTTAGGTTGTAAATATTTGAACTTAATGTAACAGGATTCTCTGGTTTTTGTATTTCAGACTTGCCATTGCCTTCAGAGAGTGTCGATATTATTATTTCTGACATTCCATTTGGGAAAAAGTTTAAGTTAGAGAAAGACATCAAAAGCATTCTACAAGAAATGGAGAGGTAACTTGTTGAGCTAATTTTCATAGTTTTTGAGTTATTGGTCATTTAACCAAATATATATACTAGTTCTTCAGCTGAGATTTGATTGCATTTTAGTAATTTCTCAGAATTTTTGTAGTTAAATTTTCTAAGGTTTCAAATCAGAAGGTTATAATTGAAATAGTTATTCCATATCATCTTATACTGTATTAAGTTTTATTCCAAAAAAGATACTAATTTTTCATTATTGCCCAAAATCTGAATATCTGGAATAGTGACTTATATTTTAATCACTGAGATAGGTAATTTACATATTATAAACCTCACAAAAACCTCACCTCCTAATGTGTTAATTGGCCACATTTCACAGATGAGAAACTGGGACCCTGAAAGATGAACTTTCTCAAGATCACAGCTACTAAGCCCCACAACAGAACTCACATAAGGAGCATTCAGTATCAGAGAGAGGCTACAACACTGCTGATTGTAAAATGAAAATTCAGAAGTGTTATTCATGTCAGGGGGTCTAAGGTTGGCCTCAGGGAATATAATTCAGGGAAAGTATTTCTTTGAGAAGTTCAAACAGTGAAGGCAGAATATATATTTTTTTTCTGTTCATTTAAGCTGGTAAAGGAGAGAACCTAGAACACATGGAGCAATAAAAAGATATGACCAAGAATTCAAGTCATTAAATTGTCTCAGTGTGCATTTGATAGAGCAAGACGACAGGTAATGAGCCTGTATGTAAATCATGTCACCAGTAGAAACAATGAGCCATGGATTTGGATGGAGAAAATTCAGTGTCAAAGCTGACATTCTGTAAGGAAAATTAAAGCTTGACATGAAGTCCACATCCAGCTAAAACCATGTCACCTCCATCTTGTGAACTGGACTCTACACACTTCTTTTTAGATTATCTTATTTCTAAGCCCCTTCCCCTGCTACACAATTACCTAACCTGCAAGCTGGGCACCACCTGTAATTCAGACATATCCTGAGCACCTGCACTTCCTTCTGCCTGGGAGTACATTCTCCTCAAGCAGACTTTGCAGCCCTGACTTCATATTAAAATCATTTCAGGGGCTTTTGAAAAACAGTGAAGCTCATTTTCCACCCCTTCAGTTTAGTTGGTCTGGAGTAGAACGTGGCTGTATTTCTTAACCCCTCCCAAGGTGATTCTGGCCTGCAGCCTGCGTTCATAACCACAGCCTTTGTGCCCAGTAGGTAATTCACCAGCCATACTATTAAGCCAACTCATAGTGAAATACTAATATGTGTGAGCAATGACTTATATTTAACCTGGACCTTTCCAGAAGAGATTCAAGATTCCCCCCATAATTTGAATGCCTCAGTAGGACCAGTTGAAAGTATATGTATTTGAATATAAGGAACTCCTGTGACCACGCTTCCTTGACACCTACCCACAGCCTTTATGGTTTGATTTTTCACTTTTTATAGTTGGAGGTTTTACATAGGCAGTGCAGCCTAATATGGTATCGTTTGGAGACAAACTTGTCTTGATTCACTGATCGTTTAGATGAGGGAAAGCTACTTCTAAGCTCCTGATATCTTTGTTGGGTGCGGGGGAGATTCCCTTTAACTCTTGCCCCCTAGCTGTCACCTTTCTCCTACCTATACAACCAGACTTCTGGAAAGAATCGTCTACACTTGACATCTGTGCTTCCTCCCCTTCCAGTCCCACTTCGATTCTGGCAGACCCGCATTTGCTCCTGCTCTCAGCTAAGATTGCTGTCCCCGGGCTCACTGATGGCCTCGTGTGGTCCTAATCCGTTAGTCCTGTAGCGTCAGACACCGTGGAGACCATCCCGTCCTGAAAGGGTACACCTTTGGCTTCCGTGCCGTCACCGTTGTCCAGCCTTTCTCCTAGGATTCTGTCCCATGGCCCCTCCCTCCTCTCTCCTTCCTTAACTGTGAAGCCTCTGTGCCTTGGCCCTTTTTCTCTTCTCACTCTAACCTGCCTCCCCAGGAGATGTCATCCACTGTCACAGCTTCATGCACTGTGTGCTCTTGACAACTCCGAAGTCTCTACCTCGAGCCCTGGTCTTCTGTTGCCTCCAGGCTGTACATCCAACTGGCGACTGGAACTCAGGCCGCCCTTTTCCTTAGGTCCCCCAGCACATTCCAGACAGCACTCTTTTCCTCCCTCCTCCTCCACCCGTCTGATTCAGCCTCACGCTGAGTTTCTTCCAGTGCCTCCTCCTCCTCACCTCTTCCTTTCTGCTGTGTTTCTGCCTCCAGCTCCCTGCCTCGCTCCGGCCCCTTGCTGTCACTTGGCCTGGCTCACTCCCGCTTGTCCTTAACTCACGGTGCACATTCGGGACCCAGCTAACGTGTTCCCAGGGTACCTCGGACTTGCCCAGAGGGTAGCGTTTGGCACCCTCTGGAATTCTCTACTCGCCTCTCGCCCACTGTCAGTAATCTCTTGAGCAGCTCTGAGGACTGTGTGTTCACTCGTCACTTTTTCCACATAGAAGTGCTCCACAGAATTTGGTCCAGTGACCGAGTAATTCTCCTCAACAGGCTGACATTCTGAGGTCTCCCGTTCCTTTGCTGATCTTCCCTCTTGTCATTCCTTTGTCCGTGTCCGCACTCTTTCCGGTGCTTTTCTTCTGCCATCAGCCTAGTATATGCTGATCCTATAGGATTCTTTCATTTGCCTTTTCCTTTGTACAATCACTTATTAGAATGTGACTATGAATTACTTTGAGGCTTGCCTTTTAAGTAGAGTAAAAATAGATAATTAAAGCAGATTTGTGCTTGTGATTCCATAATTACTATAATGAATATGCAGTATGGAAGATACTACCTAATTATCAAAACCTTGTGTTTAAATAGATAAAATTAAATTTCAAATTAAAAACACCAAATATTTTAAATAAAGTGGGATTGTTTGTTGTCTAAAAAGAAAGACTCATACCAATTATCATTTTTTTTGTCACAGAGTGCTTCACATCGGCGGAACCATTGTACTGTTGCTCAGCGAGGAGCACCACAGGCGCCTCAAAGATGGCGAACAGAGCAGCAGCCCTTTGAATCCCAGGAGCAGCCACACAGATGAACCTGAACCTGGAGTCAAAAAGCGCTTGAATCCTGGAGAAAAAACTGGCATATCAGAGACCGTGTCATTGTCCTTCGAAGCCACTAGCCAGGAGTGCTTGGACAGAATGCCACCGTTTGGCTCTTTAGTGCCAGTGGAATGCCACAAGGTTAGCCTTGGGAGGACGGATGCATTCATATGCAAATACAGGAAGCTGCACTCTTCTGGACTCTAGCAGGCCAGCACCAGGTTCAAGTCCTCGTACATCAGGTACGTCAGCCATGCGGCGGCGAAGGTGGCTGTCTTGGGATCTCGATGGGGCCACAGAGTTTCCGGGAAGCAGACTCCCCCGAAAGGCAGGACGCGCTCCAGCCTCATCCTCAGAAGAGCCAAAAGTTGCCAACAAAGACCAATGAATGAATATTCCTACGAAAGGACCCTCAAATTTTGTATTCCATCGGAATGTGAGCAGTTGCGCTCAGGCGGCACTGGCTCCGAGCTGGAGCTGCAACTTCGAGCACAGGTTTTCAGAGGTTCCCATGAAGTGCATTGCACTCATCACAGGGCTCACGATATTTTCACTATCAGGGTTTTTTTAACGTAGAAGCTTTGATGTGTTACTTCTTTTGATATTAAACTTGGTTCTTAAGCCTATAATTTTCCTCTCCATTGGAATGAAAATAATTTTTATTTGCAACACCTTTTATATGTCCCGTATTCTGTAAAACATTAATGGGAATAACCGCAATAAGAATCAAGCCAGTATCCTCCAACATGATAGAAAATAAAGTTTGCTCTTTTTCTAAAAACATTAACAAATGTTTTTAAATGTCACCCCTCTCTTATTTAAATGAAATGCCTTCCTTGTGTTTACTACTTGAGAAGATCTTAATAGAAAGTTGATGCAGGGGCACCTGGGTGGCTCAGTCCGATAAGCGTACAACTTCGGCTCAGGTCATGATCTCACAGTTCCTGGTTCAAGCCCCACATCAGGCTCTGTGCTGATAGCTCGGGGTCTGCGTCAGATTCTGTGACTCCTCCTCTCTCTTTGCCCCTCCCCCGATCACACTGTGTGTCTCTCAAAAACAAATAAAACATTAAAAAAATTAAAAGGAAAGTTGATGCAAATACGATTTTCTTTTTTTTTTTTTTTTTTCCAGTAAAGTAGTAACTTGGGTTCTTGGCTGTTTTAGTACTATTTGAACGACCTTTCCATGTTTAGGAAATTTCTCACCTTGTGAATCCCACCTCTCCAAATTAGAAGCAGAAGACTTCTTTTCCAGCTGGGGTGTGGCATGTAACCTTGGCCCAGCGTCAGGCTAGGTCCACTAATCCGTCTGGGGCTAGTGGGGGCACCTGTGATCAATGGAATTTATTTATTTATTTACTTACTTACTCACTCACTTGCCTGAAAGTAATTCACAGTAATCCCAGCGGGACCTAGCCTATCACACGTTCATACAACAAGTATTTATCGCACACCTATTATCTACCAAGGCATTGTTCACGTCCGTGCCAGAGATCCTTGCCCCATAGAACAACACTCTAGTAGGGGAGAGAGATAAGAAACAGTAGACCTAATAATTTATTTGATGGATTAGAAGGTGATACGTGTGGGTCTGGGGAAATGAAAGCAGAGCAAAGGTTAGGGAAACACAGGGAGATGGGGCTAGAAGTGTTTTCCGTTTTCAAATAGGTAAGCCTTGTTGAGAATATGAGATTTGAGCAAACTTAAAGGACATGGAAGAGTGTTCCGGCACATGGAACAGCCAGTTGCAAAGCCCATGAAACAAGAGCCTGCCTGACGTGTTTGAGGAACAGCAGAGAGGAAATCTGGCTCGAGCAGAGTGAAAGAGGGGGAGAAAGAGGTTGAAGAGAGGTGAGTGGTGGTGGCGGCTGGTTAGACCATGGGGGAACTTTAAAAGACTTTTAGGAGGACTGACTTTGACTTAAAACTATCGGAGTGGTTTGAACAAGTAGAAATCTAACATACATTTTACAGAATCACTGTGACAGCTGTATTGTGGACACGCAAAGGTGAAAGCAGACCCGTTGGGAGTTTTTTGCAATAACCCAAGCAAGAGAAAACGGTCACGTGCCCCAGGGCAGTGGCAGTAGAGGCAGTAAAGCAGCTGGATACTGAATATTTTGGTTCTTAAGCCGGGGGATCTGTGGCTGTGTTTGATGTGTGGTGTGATAAGTGGAGAGGAGACAGGAGTGGCTATGAGATGTCTGACCAAGCGCCCTGACCAGTGGAATTTCCGTCAACTGATGGGGAAAGGCTGCAGAAGGGGGCAGGTTGGGTGTGAGAAGGCAGAAGCCCATTTTTAGACTTGCTGGCTTTTGAGATGCCCATTAAATATCCCAGTGGGGGTGTTGAGTAGGCAATTGAATAGAGGAGTCCAAAGTTTAAGAAGTTCTGCCCTAGAGTTATAAATTGGGGGATTTTCAGGGGCACCTGGGTGGCTTAGTCAGTTAGGCGTCCAACTTTCGCTTAGGTCATGATCTCGCGGTTCGTGGGTTCGAGCCCCGCGTCGGGCTCTGTGCTGACTGCCAGCTCAGAGCCTGGAGTCTGTTTCAGTCTGTGACTCCCTCTCTCTCTGACCCTCCCCTGCTCACGCTGTCTCTCTCTCTCTCTCTCCTAGAAATAAATAAAACATTTAAAAAAATAAATAAATTGGGGGATTTTCAGCATATTGGTGCCATGAAACTGGATGCGATCGTCGAAAGACTAAATGGAGGAGAAGGAAGAACAGGGCTGAGCCCTATGTTCCTCCAACACTAAGAGGTCAAGAGAAGGGGAGGAGTCTGCAAAGGGGACTGAGAAGAAATAACCAGTGAGGCAGGAGGAAAAGGAGTGATTGCCTGGATGGCAAATGAGCAACAGGTCTGGAGGAGGAAGTGCTCTAGATAAGATAAGGGCTAGAAATTGACCCTTGGGTTTAGCAATGAGATTATTAGTGAGAGTTTTGGTGGAGTGTGGAGGGAACAAAGTCACACCAGGTTGGAATTAAGAGAAAATAGGGAAGGTTCTGGAGATCATGAGTACAAACAACTCTTGCAACTAGTTTTGCTGAAAAGGGAGCAAAGAATGGAGTTAGTAGGTGGGTTAGGGATGTGGAATCGAGACTAAATTTTTTTAAGATGGGAAAAGTAGCAACAAGTTTTTCATATTGAAGAGAATGTTCCGGGAAAGGCGGAAAATTCATGAGGTAGGAAAAGGCTAAATGCTGCAGTGTCCTTGAAAAGGGGGTTGGACCACATTCCACACGTAGGGGAATTAGCGTTCGATAAGAGTATGAATAATTTCTCCATGGTTACGAGTGGGAAGGCGGCACACAGGCATTTCTGCGATAACGTGATAAATGTGCTCCTGAAAATTTCTTATTCTCAAATTCATGCACTAAAAATAACAGAATTCATGGAAGAAACATGGGGGAGACCTGTCCAACTTTGGAAATTGCACACCAACAAAAGCACCAATTAACATAGTTTAAAAGAGCTTGTCACATTCCTAATAAAGTTGACCCTTGAACAACACAGGGATTAGTTGACCCTTTTTGACAACACAGTCAAAAATCCACATATAATTTCGTCCAAGTCCTCAACAACTTAACTACTAATAGCCTCCTGTTGAACTGACTCCTTGCCAATAACATAAATAACTGATTAACGCATTATTTTGTTGTATGTATTATATGCTGGGTTCGTACATTAAAGTAAGCTAGAGAGAAGAAATGTTATTCAGAAAGCCATAAGGAAGAAAAAACACACTTGTAGCTCTGTAGGTACATTTATGGAAAACAAAGTATAGGCTGGTTGGGTGAGCAGGTCAAGGGCAGTGGCAGCAGGAGCCCACAGTCTGGTGGCCTTGGCTTAGCAGCAACAGCCACAGGGCAGGCCTGTGGGTAGTGACATGGGCCAAGTACATGCCTCCCAGCAGGTGTACCTCCACTGTCCCCCAGGGAGGGGTCTGCACCTGGCCCAGCAGAGGCCCCAGCCCTGGAGCTTGCGCAAGGAGGACGGAGGCGGGGCGTCCCAGGCTAAGCTGCTGCAGCACTGTCCCCGCCTTCCGGGCATGGTCCTCCACTGCAGCCTGGGCTCCTGCTCACCAGCCCACGCCCTCCGCCCAGCCACCCTATCAGACAGCACAGCCTTGCCTGGTCCCGGGCACCTGGGGTTTGCTGATGGCCTCGGGTGGCAGTCATGACCTCTGCACTCTTCGCCTTGGATTTGGTCCCGAGGAGACTGAGGTGGGCAGTTGTAAATAAATGCCTTGCAGCTTTCGCTGTCACGTCAAAGGGGACCCCTGCTGTTCGAAACCCTGTTGTTCAAGGGTCAACTGCACATCAGTAAATAAAGGATTTCGCCTTTCCAAGAAGCGGGCAAAGGCAGCTTGATAGAATTTGGTAGGAGGAATGGTAGAAGGAGCTATGGACGCAATAAGCACTTCCAAGACAGAACCTGTAGCCCAACAGCCCCAGGAAGAGGATACAGTGAAAAGGACTCACATAAAGTACCTGATCCTTTGGCAGTTTGCTCATTCAGCTCACTCCACTGGTGTCTTCACATTCGGCAGCTCTTATCTGGTGGCACAAAATATTATTGGGGGAAACCACTCATGAACGGACCCAATTTCCCCATTATAGTGACATCACCCCCCACCTAGCAATAATATTTGAGTTAATGCCTATTACAGAAGCACACACTGTAGAACAGACTGTAAGTGGGAGCAGATGCCGGGAGGGGGGCGGACGTGGTGGTGGTAGGACTCTGGAAGTTCTCTTCTGCCTGCTTCAGTTTCCTCAGTGAGAAAGTACGTGGTAATGTCCCCAGACATTATGCCTGGAACGGAGCCCTCAGCAAATGCAGAATCCCGACAATGGCTTCCAAAGCGTGGAGTGAGGGGGTCTGTTATTGGAGGGCCTCCCAGGGCTCCCCCTTCCTGCCATAATGGCCAAACAAAAGCAATAGTTCCTTTGTAGAAACTACGACTATTAGTGCCATTCAGAAGAAAGATGCACAGTTGCCTCGTGGAATTCCTTGGCACCAGAAGGCAATTGGTGTCACTTCGGGTTTGTTGTTCTGACTCATTTACCTTTAATGGAGCCTTGCGCAGGAGAGGGAGCTCTCCGGCTGGTCCTGGCCCCCTGTGGCCAGCTCTCCGCCCTTGCCCTGATGACCCAGCGGATCTAATGGTGCTCAGAATGCCTGTGACCCACCTGACTGCTGTGTGGAGCCAGCAGCAAGTCCTAATAGGGGAAGTTATAGCTGTTGCCTCTTCGCTTTTGGAGCAAAGCCAAGCTCTCTTGTGCATGTAATTATTCTCCTTTCAGAAAGAACTCTTGGCTGACCTACTGAGGGCTTGACCACAGGGCACTTGGTGACCCTGACCTACACTGACCACCCTGAACTGAGAGTGATTTTTCTTAATGTTTATTTTTATTTTTGAGAGAGTGAGAGGACACAAGTGGGGGAGGGGCAGAGAGAGAGGGAGACAGAGGACCTGAACAGCAGAGAGTGCAACGTGGGGCTTGAACTCACTAACCGTGAGATTATGACCTGAGCCAAAGTCAGGCGATTAACCGACTTGGTCCCCTAGGCGCCTCTAACTGAGAGTGATTTGATCCACCAAACCAAAGTTCAGTGAACCCAGCCCACCAGCACGTTTCCATCAGATGGAAGTGGGATATATCAGCACCATGGCTGATGGACCTCATGAGCTACAGAATAGTCGGCACATTATCCTGCAATGTCCCTTCTGCCTCCTACGCTGCTACCCTCCCTCACAACCATGTTCCCCGGGGGAAGAATTCCCACTGAGGAGTTTGCCA